TGCCAACAAAGTTATTGGTGATTGAATAAATAATTCAAGCCTCAAGTCAATAATGGAACTATGCACATGATTTTATTCTAGCTCAGGTTATGAAACTATGATGATTAAGTTAAATGATTTATGTATATAGGTGTGGCAAGTACGCGCTTCTTATGATTCAAAACCATATCGAAGATTGATGATGCAAACATGGGGTGCAAAGGTGCACCCATCTCCATCTACAATTACTGAGGCAGGTCAGCGAATGCTTCAAGAGGATCCATCAAGCCCAGGGAGTTTAGGCATAGCCATATCAGAAGCTGTGGAGGTTGCTGCTAAAAATGCTGATACCAAGTACTGCTTGGGGAGTGTACTCAACCATGTTTTACTCCACCAGAGTGTCATAGGAGAAGAGTGCCTCAAACAAATGGAGGCTATTGGGGAAACCCCAGATGTGATTATTGGATGCACTGGTGGTGGCTCCAACTTTGCAGGACTTAGTTTTCCATTCCTTAGAGAGAAACTCAATAAGAAAATCAATCCTGTTATTAGAGCAGTTGAACCTGCAGCATGTCCTTCATTAACAAAAGGGGTATATACATATGATTATGGTGATACAGCAGGGATGACTCCGTTGATGAAAATGCACACACTTGGACATGACTTTGTTCCGGATCCAATTCATGCTGGTAACTATTTGTTATGCTATTGCTGAGAAAGTTTGAAAATATGGAATTTAATTTTTGAAAGTGAGGTAACTTGTGTATATTTGTTCCTTGAAATTTTATTACATGTGCATACAATTTAGAACTTGTTTGAATAGAAGTTAGAAGTGTTTTTAAGAGTTTCTCTACTAAAAATAGAGTTATTTTTAGTAAAGAAGCTCTCAAAAGAGCTTATAAATTTGTATTCAAAGAGACTATTAGTCGAAATCTGATAACTTGGTGAAATTTGATATTTAAATCTATCAACTTATAGACAAATTTAGTTCCCAAATTTGTTCAACTTCACAACTGAAGGATTAATTTGTCTTAAAGTTGTCCAATTCAATGACTAAATTGTATACACAAATTTTCAAGTAAAAATTCAACATATGAAATTACATAGGATAAAACATCATTCAAATCCTTGAAAGTGTATGTAACTGGTACTTTAGTTTCTAAAAGTATAAAAATTCAAAAAGAGTCCTTTAAAGTGTAAAATGTTACCCACTTTAGTCTAAAATTAAAAAAAAAAATTGTGACTTAAATGATAATATTAATATATATTTAGGAATTAAAATGACAATAAATAGTTACTTTTAGAGACTTAAATGAAACAACAAGAATTTTCAAGACTTATTCTTAATTTTCTTACTTTCAAGGAATAAAGTGTTAACAACATACATTTTCAGGGATCCAAATGGTGTTTTACCCAATTGTATATTACTATCACAAATTCACAATTATAAGTGTATCTTTGTATGAACACTTTTGTTTATTTGGCAGGAGGATTGCGTTACCACGGAATGGCACCATTGATCTCACATGTTTTTGACTTGGGTTTGATGGAAGCAATTGCAATTCCACAAACTGAATGTTTTCATGGTAATTCTCATTTTCTGTCATTGGAAACAATAAGCAAGTTTGGATACATAGAAATTAGAATCGTATAGGATGAAATTGTGTCCTTTTGGTTACAGGTGCCATACAGTTTGCTAGGTCTGAAGGGTTGATACCAGCACCTGAACCTACTCATGCCATAGCTGCAACCATTAGGGAAGCTCTTCACTGTAGAGAGAGTGGAGAGGCCAAGGTTATTCTGACAGCAATGTGCGGACATGGCCATTTTGACCTGCCATCTTATGAAAAGTATTTACAAGGGAACATGGTTGACCTCTCATTCTCAGATGACAAGGTGAAGGCTTCAATGGCCAATATTCCTCAAGTGACTGCTTGAGTTGAGGTTCATTCTCTAGTATTAGTGAGAAACAAGGAAGACATTGACATTGTTTAGATGATTTTTTCTATAAGGACTTATAGGAGAAGAAATTAAGAAAATAAAATTATCGTAAGTTAAAATCAACTTATGCTCATCGATTTTGAGAGAAATTTGAAACCTGTTTATATTCAAGTTTAAATGAGTTTTTGAAAGTTTCTCTACTGAAAATGAAGAACTTTTTTCGGTATAGAAACTCTTAAAGGTTCTTTTTGTTGGGATTCATCCCAAGTCCCACATCGGTACTCATTCTTGGCATCCACTTCCTTTAATTCATTAGTCAGGCTTTTTATCGTGGTATCCACATTACCAAACACCTCAATGTTCCACTTCTTTAGAGAATTTTGAACATTCAAGAGCTTTCCTCGTATTCTTTGGGCAGCCCACGGACCTTGAACCTGTTTCTCCCATGCATCCCTCACCACACCCTCAATACCACGATGGGAAAGCCAATAATTATTAAATCGAAACGGTTTAGGACCCTAGTTTAGCACCTTATGATTCAAAATCAATGGACAATGATCAGATACATCACGCGGAATCACCTCTACAAATCCTGCACCCCTGAGCACTCCAGCTTTCTGAGGTCAACACCCTATCCAACCTGCTCATCATAGAACCATCACTCCTAAACCAAGTAAATCGCTTCCCAACCAGTGGTACATTAGTCAACTCCATATCTCTTATAAACGAATTAAATTCCTCCATATCCCGTGCACCGTAGTCACCAATCCCCCCTTTTCTCTCATCTAGTCTTCTCACCGTGTTGAAATCCCCCATTATACACCATAAACAACTCCCAAAACCACGCTTAGACATAATTATCTCTTCCCACAACCGCCGCTTATCCACTAGCTGACAAGGAGAATATACATTGACCACCACACACCTATACGCATCCACACCCCATTGCAAGCAAACACCATGAAAACCAGAACCAGAAAACGTAAACACCAATTTTCCTCGATTAAAGTTCCAAATTGAAAGTAGACCTCCACTCCTGCCTTGAGAAGGAGAAGCAAACCACTCGAACTCTGTAGATCCCCATAATTGAGCACAAAGGGTACTATCGCACATCTCCAATTTAGACTCCTGTATGGCAATAAAATCTAGCTCCTCAAATCGAATAAGCTCCGATATACGACGCCTTTTCACATCACCCCCTGATCCACGACAATTGAATGTACCGACTTTCATTGCATATCTGAGGATCCCCTAATACCAACCGCCACCATACGATCCCTCTGCTCCATGGACATAAGCTTCTGTCGCACCTCGTCTTCATTTCCACGGACCTCCATTCCAACACTCTTGCAAATAGAGAGAATACGATCGGTCATGGCTTCGTCACAACACTATTCTACATTTGCAGCTAAATTGACACCGTTAATATCATTTGGCTGGACCACCGTTGAGTTCCCACCACCTACACCAGTCACTGCGGCCAAAGAACCTTTCGTCAATGATACCGAATCGTGAGGTGCTCCTTAGATATGCATTTTCTTTCTAGCTATTTTTAGTGCATTTCTCATATTATTTCTTATATTAGGCTCATCACATTTGGCTTGAAGGGAGTCTATTGACACTATCCCCTCCCTAGGCTCAATACACCCCTCCACTTCATCTGGCCAAAGCACTCTGTTAAGCCCAAGAAGGTCATTCTAGGATTCAGGCCCCAATTCCTTATCTAGCAATGCACACCCATCCAGACTTATGTCCTCCATTATTTTATTAACACCACCAGAAGTCACCTCATTTATAACCTCCACTTCCACCCCTGTTCGCACCCTTCCCTCATCACACTCCACACCAACCCCTCTACTAAACACACCTTCCTTTTCACCAATCACCCTGTTCCTATTGGTAATCAAACCACCACCATCAACCAATGCCACATATTGGTCAACGCCTACCTCTCTCATCGGGCTCACCATATCATTCTGCATATTCCCCTCTGCCCCATTTTGAATATTCTTAGTAACTTTGTTACCAACCCCTTCAATTACATTAACACCTTCCATACCCAAATCTGTACTTTTAGCAACTTCCATAGCATATTCTTTTACCCCTTCCACTATCTGTTCCACCATTTCCGTAACCCCCTCAATGCAATTCCCACCACTATCATCATTGACAATCCCCGGTGAGACCTCACCACTACTACGTTCTTTGGCCATCATCTCTGGTGGCCCTTCCTCCACACCTTTATCCTCCTCAGAGGAATAATTTTCCACATCCTCCAAATCAAGTGACTGATCCAAGGAGACATCCTCAGAGGTGCTATCATCATTGGCCCATTCTCTTGTCAAAAAATTGTCCTCCATGTTCCTCCACCAAACGCACTGAAAAGAATAAATCATTCACCAACACCCGTGTTTCCTCATTGATCAATGCCTTGTACGTCGTGCTTATTTGAATTCGGGCATAATCAAGATGCCTTCTCTCTCGTGTATCCTTATCTACTTGGACGAAATCCCCCTTGAAGATACCATTTTAATGAAAAATTTCTCTGACCATGCGTGAAGGGGGATGCCATAGCAACGTACCCATGTTTAACGTCGTAAATAGATCATCCTCGGATGCCATTCAACTAACTCATAAAACCACCTCTCCCAGAGCTTTTTATTTAGTGACACTATATCCTCAAGATTAACACCAGCATCCGATTCCACCAGAACCATATCATCACCCATCGTTGCCACCTTGATATCCAGGAGACCCTCTTGTAGTAAATCTTGACGTATCGTAGCCAACTGAAGATGACGATGACGCCGACCCACCAAAGATCGCTGACATTCCTCAATTACCTCATCATCAACCGAGAAATGAAGATGAGCCCAAGGCTCCTTTTTTCGCAACCACTCATTACCCCCCGTAGCAGATACCACCGTATTTCCCTTCGAATCCCTCACGTTGAACCTTGTCGTTCCTTTTAATTTATCCGCATATGAGGCACAATGGCTACGCATTACCCTGCCAGAGACACATTGCCTATCAACTTGCACCCGAGTGGCAACATGACTGTTGCTCCTCACCATCCGAGAATGACGAGTGAGGTTGACCTTTAGCCTCCGTGCTCCAATGACAATAGAGTTAAGACTCCTTTTCAAACCCTCCACATTGCAGACACCAGAGAACTGTACGAACCCAAACCTTTGTCCATGATTGTCACGTTTTTTGGGGATAAACACATCTACTACCTTTCCCCATTTTTGGAAAATTTTCCATAACACCGAGATTTCTTGATTCTCCGCCACATTAGTGAAGAAGAAAGACGTAGAGTTATTCAGAATCTGTCTCAGGTGTCCTCCAAAATTTGGAACTAGAGCCACTTCAAAAAAAACTTCATGATTTGCTTCAAAGAAAAAAATATTTACTTGTTTTGGATGATGTGTGGGATGAAGAGCAAGAAAATTGGAATAGGTTGAAATCTGTTGGGGAACTCTGCAGTTATCTCAAGCAGAGTACATCAACCGTGTTCTACAAAGATTCAACATGAGCAATGCCAAACCAGTTAGCACACCTTTGGCTAGTCATTTTCGCCTATCTGGAACTAGAGCCACTTCAAAAAGCACTTCATGATTTGCTTCAAAGAAAAAAATATTTACTTGTTTTGGATGATGTGTGGGATGAAGAGCAAGAGAATTGGAATAAGTTGAAATCTGTTTTGTCTTGTGGGGCAAAGGGTACTTTTGTTTTGGTTACCACTCGTCTTTCAAAGGTTGCAACAATTATGGGAACAACTGATCCTCATGAATTATCAATGTTATCTGACGGAAATTGTTGGGAACTGTTTAAAAACCGAGCCTTTGGATTAGATGAGGTAATACAGGTAGAACTTGAAAACATAGGGAAGGAGATAGTAAAGAAGTGTGGGGGAGTGCCTCTTGCAGCAACAGCACTAGGAGGTCTTTTACGCTTTGAAAGAAGGGAAGAAGCATGGCTCAATGTTAAGGAAAGCAACGTGTGGAGTTTATCAGACAATATAATGCCTGCCTTAATATTAAGCTACCTGAACTTGCCAATAAAACTCAGACAATGTTTTGCTTATTGTGCAATATTTCCCAAAGATCAAAGAATTCAAAAACAATATTTAATTGAACTTTGGATGGCTAATGGATTCATTTCATCTAATGGAATGTTGAATGCTCAAGACGTTGGTGATGATGTGTGGCATGAATTACACTGGAGATCACTTTTTCAAGATCTTGGGATAGATGAATTGGGCAAAGTTAAAAGTTTCAAGTTACATGACCTTGTTCATGATCTTGCACAATCTGTTGCTGAAGAGATTTGTTGCATTACAAGGGATACTGATGTTACTACTTTGTCTAAAAGAATCTACCATCTGTCAGACAGGACGTGGGGGAGCCACCAGTTGCCTAAAGTCAAATCATTGAGAACCTGTATAATGTTGAATTATTTGAAAGAAAGATTTCATTCTAGTGTGCTGAAATTTTATTCTCTACGTGTGCTTGACTTTGTAAATAAAAAAAAATTGTCATCTTCAATTGGTAATTTAAAACATCTAAGGTACTTGAATCTTTCCAATGGATGGTTCAAAACCATACCAGAATCGTTATGTGAATTGTGGAATTTGCAAATATTGAAATTAGATTGTTGTAGTGCTCTCCAAAAGTTGCCTACCAGTTTGATACGATTAAAAGCACTACATCAACTATCTTTGAGCTATTGCAACTCACTATCAAGCTTGCCTCCTCATATAGGGAAGATGACTTCCCTAAGAAGTTTAACCATGTACATTGTTGGCAAGGAAAGTGGGTTCCGTTTGGAAGAATTGGAAGCACTTAATCTCAAAGGAAAGCTTTTCATCAAGAATATGGAGAAAGTAAAAAGCGTAATGGATGCCAAAAAAGCCAACATGTCAAACAAGCAACTAAACTTGTTGGAGTTTGAATGGGAGAGAAATAAAGAGTCTGAATTGCAAAATAATGTTGAGCAGATTCTTGAAATGCTTCAACCTGATACCCAACAACTTCAGAGTTTGACAGTGGTAAATTATGAAGGTGTCCATTTCCCCCAATGGATGTCTAGTCCTTCCCTCAAATATTTAAATTCTTTAAATTTGTTTGGTTGCAGAAGTTGTTTACACCTTCCAGTGTTGGGAAAACTACCTTCTCTAAGGGGTTTAACCGTAAGTGACATGACTCAAGTAGAATACCTATTCGAGGAGTCTTATGATGATGGAGTGGTTTTCTTGGCTCTAGAATCTCTGTCCCTATGGAGCCTGCCAAACCTAATAAGGTTATCAAGGGAGGACGGGGAAAACATGTTCCCTCGCCTTTCCAGACTTCATATATATGAATGTCCTAAATTATTGGGTTTGCCTATCCTTCCATCTATCAATGCTCTATGGATAAAAGGAAAATGCTTTCAAGACTTACAGAGTTCAATTCAGAAACTCAGTAATCTTAAATCCCTTCAATTCAGTCGTAATGATGAGTTAACATGCTTTCCAGGTGGGATGCTACAAAACCTTGCTTCTCTAGAGACACTAATCTTTAGTAATCTCTCAAAACTTGAAGTACTCCCAACTGAAATCTTTAACCATAATGTTATCGAAAGTCTGTATCTCCGTGATTGCGAGAACCTCCAGGTTTTGATACAAGGGTTGCACTCTCTTGAGAAATTAGAAATTGACAGGTGTCGCAAGTTCAGTATGTCGACAGGTTTACAACATCTAACATGTCTTCAATATTTGTCGATTGGCACATGCGATGTGGAAGGTTTGCATTATGCTTTACAACATCTGACTTCCCTCAAGGAGTTATCATTAAGAAATCTTCCAAACTTGGAATCCTTGCCTGATTTCTTTGGAAACCTTCCCTTGCTTCAACGATTGGAGATTAGAAAGTGTTCCAAGTTGAGGTGTCTTCCAACAAGCCTAAGCTAGCATCCCACCTGGAAAGCATGTTAACTCATCATTACGACTGAATTGAAGGGATTTAAGATTACTGAGTTTCTGAATTGAACTCTGTAAGTCTTGAAAGCATTTTCCTTTTATCCATAGAGCATTGATAGATGGAAGGATAGGCAAACCCAATAATTTAGGACATTCATATATATGAAGTCTGGAAAGGCGAGGGAACATGTTTTCCCCGTCCTCCCTTGATAACCTTATTAGGTTTGGCAGGCTCCATAGGGACAGAGATTCTAGAGCCAAGAAAACCACTCCATCATCATAAGACTCCTCGAATAGGTATTCTACTTGAGTCATGTCACTTACGGTTAAACCCCTTAGAGAAGGTAGTTTTCCCAACACTGGAAGGTGTAAACAACTTCTGCAACCAAACAAATTTAAAGAATTTAAATATTTGAGGGAAGGACTAGACATCCATTGGGGGAAATGGACACCTTCATAATTTACCACTGTCAAACTCTGAAGTTGTTGGGTATCAGGTTGAAGCATTTCAAGAATCTGCTCAACATTATTTTGCAATTCAGACTCTTTATTTCTCTCCCATTCAAACTCCAACAAGTTTAGTTGCTTGTTTGACATGTTGGCTTTTTTGGCATCCATTACGCTTTTTACTTTCTCCATATTCTTGATGAAAAGCTTTCCTTTGAGATTAAGTGCTTCCAATTCTTCCAAACGGAACCCACTTTCCTTGCCAACAATGTACATGGTTAAACTTCTTAGGGAAGTCATCTTCCCTATATGAGGAGGCAAGCTTGATAGTGAGTTGCAATAGCTCAAAGATAGTTGATGTAGTGCTTTTAATCGTATCAAACTGGTAGGCAACTTTTGGAGAGCACTACAACAATCTAATTTCAATATTTGCAAATTCCACAATTCACATAACGATTCTGGTATGGTTTTGAACCATCCATTGGAAAGATTCAAGTACCTTAGATGTTTTAAATTACCAATTGAAGATGACAATTTTTTTTTATTTACAAAGTCAAGCACACGTAGAGAATAAAATTTCAGCACACTAGAATGAAATCTTTCTTTCAAATAATTCAACATTATACAGGTTCTCAATGATTTGACTTTAGGCAACTGGTGGCTCCCCCACGTACTGTCTGACAGATGGTAGATTCTTTTAGACAAAGTAGTAACATCAGTATCCCTTGTAATGCAACAAATCTCTTCAGCAACAGATTGTGCAAGATCATGAACAAGGTCATGTAACTTGAAACTTTTAACTTTGCCCAATTCATCTATCCCAAGATCTTGAAAAAGTGATCTCCAGTGTAATTCATGCCACACATCATCACCAACGTCTTGAGCATTCAACATTCCATTAGATGAAATGAATCCATTAGCCATCCAAAGTTCAATTAAATATTGTTTTTGAATTCTTTCATCTTTGGGAAATATTGCACAATAAGCAAAACATTGTCTGAGTTTTATTGGCAAGTTCAGGTAGCTTAATATTAAGGCAGGCATTATATTGTCTGATAAACTCCACACGTTGCTTTCCTTAACATTGAGCCATGCTTCTTCCCTTCTTTCAAAGCGTAAAAGACCTCCTAGTGCTGTTGCTGCAAGAGGCACTCCCCCACACTTCTTTACTATCTCCTTTTGAACTTGTATTCAAATAAGTTCTTTGGGAACTTCTATAATTACATAAGTTGATTTTAATTGACAAGAATAACTCGATCTATTTTACCTTATTTTTTCTCCTTTAAGGATCTGTGACTAAGTTTACTCAAACAGTTTCATATTCGTAGTTGGACTAAGTGTATGGTTCTCTTAACAAAAATATGTAATCTGAATTTGTTTTGATGATTAGAATAGACTTGTCATCTCAAGCTTGATTAGGGTATTTTTTCGATTGTGCCCTTTCTTGTCCCCGTTTACTTAAAAATTGGTGATGTTTAAACCTCTTATGTACCATATTTCTTTAGACAACGCAGGAGTTATCTATAACAATATATAAAAACAACACAGTCTCTTTGTGTACATAATTTGTTAGATTATTTTGTTCTTTGATAACCACTCTCTTTTTTAATTTTAATTTTTTACCTTTCCAAAAATTTCTAACTAACCATCATTTCATTATTTTTTATTTTTTAAATAATAGAGACACATAGTGCTTTTGTAACCATTAAAAAAGAGACCCCCAGCCCCAAGTACTTCTTTCCTTCTAATTATTATAAATTTAAAATAAGTATAAAATATCTATTTATGTTTATATTTGATTACAATTATGTATTTAATTAAAAAAAATGAGATTAAAGACCAATAAGATGATGGTAACTCAATCTGACAGAATTCAGAAGCAGTTTCTTATATATTATTTTCCAATCAACATTAAAGTAACACTTCAATAATCTGTCTAATATTTTAATACAAACCTTTATTATACAAATTACTAAAATAAAACTCAAATGCTGACTAGAGAAAAGTAATAACAGTATACATCGAACTATCTAAGTTTTGTCCAAATTAATATAAATAATTAAATGTTATATTAAGAAAGAAAAAAAATGATAAAATATAAGTTGTGCAGTTGATTTTTTTATTTTTATTTTTTGCCTTCAGTTGATCATGCAGCAGGTCATGAATGCAACTACAGATTTGATCGTTGAGTAGGAAAATTTAATCAGGTTAAATTATATTTTAAGTTACCTATATTATTTAATTTACAATTTTAATTTCTTAATTTTTAATTTTATAATTTTAGTCCTCAATTTTATAAAATTAACAATTTGATTTCACCGTTAAATGTTTATTTGTCAACTATTAAAATTGTAATATTAATCATAATCTTACATTAAATAAATGACACTATAATTAATATTGACTTAAATATGCTTTTAATCATTTAAATTTAAAATTAATTTTTTTAGTCTTTTAATTTCAAAAAATATTTGTTGTACCCCTTAAGTCACCAATAACATAATTAATAGTAATAAATTGAAACAATTATATAATATCTATCAAGATTAATGTGACATTTTCAATGAAAAAAAATCTATACTCACAAGTATCCGCTACGAATAATAAATGAATAGTTTAAATAGATACCTAAGAGTAATGAGTACAAGTATTTCTTTTACCTTTTTCTGTTTATAAATGTGACAAGTATGATAATATTCATGTCTATAGGTATCTATTAAGTATTATTACTAAAATACCCTTATTATATATACTAGTAAAAAAAAAAGGAACTTTTTACCTTTGTGAAAAAATAGAGAAAAGATATTTTTTTTTGGTAAAAATACTATTTTGATCCCTTATAATATTTTAAATTTTCAATTTGGTCTCATCTTAATTTTTTGTTTCAATTTGGTCCCCATAAAGTAGAGTTGTCAAAACGGGCTACCCGACCCGGCCCACCACGGGTTGACCATTTGGTGGGTCAACCCAACCCGGCTCATTTATCAGTGAGCTTAAAAAAATCGAACCCGGCCCGGCCCACCACGAGTTGGTGGGTTAAACGGGTTGGCTCACCTTAAAAAAAATAATTTTTTTCATTTTTTTTTCTTAATATACAACTAAAGCCCAAAAATTTAAACTTATTTTAACAATATGAGATTCTTAATTAAGGCATCCATAAATGAATCATTCATCCCAAACATTAAATGATAATTTTAAATACAATCAAATCAAATCTAAATAATCTCAAATAGATAAATATAATCCAAAATTATCTTAAACTTCAAATATAATCCAAAATCATCTTAAATTTCAAATACAATCCAAAATCATAAAAATTACAAATCACAATCCAACATTAAATCATTATTGTCTCATGTTGGACTGCATCATGACCCAATAATTATTGTATTTAAAAAAAAAAAAAATTTAATCACGGGTTGGTGGGCCAGCCCGGCTCACCACGGGTTCAACCCGGGTGAGCTGGGTTGTTAGTGAGCCGGGTTCAAATTTGACCCATATTGAAATTTTCAAATTTTTTTAACTCAACCAGGCTCGAACATGTGGTGAGCCGGGTTGGCTCACCGGACCAAGCCCATTTTGACAGCTCTACCATAAAGTTAAATCACTGCAATGTTGGACCTTCCGTCCAAATTTCTTAAACGGAGTTAACTGTTGGCCACGTGGATGCCACGTAGATGCATAGGTGGCAAGGTGCCACGTCCCCCTCCTCCCCTTCTTAAATGCACCCGGAACGACCTGTTGAAACCAGAACGGCCCGTTCTGGATGCACTATTTATGTGCTAATTTTTCACCTGGAACGGGCCGTTCCAGATACAACATTTAACACACAACGAGTGCAGCAGAACGGGCCGTTCTGGATTCAGAACGAACCGTTCCAGAAAGTCAATGTATGTTCAACACAATGCAGCAATGTGGTTCAGAGATTGAAAACAAAAATTCATAATATAACATAAATTCAAAAACTGAAATATGGTTCAGAGACTACAAACAAAAATTCATAACAAAACATATACTAAGAAAGTTCAAATAAATTACTGAGAAGGAAAATAAAATCATGTCATTTCATCATTGACTGTATAGTGTCGATTTGATAGTAAGTGATTCACGACTAACAATGAAATAAAACTTGTCACTATTGTCCTTAGTATCCTTAGTGATACACTACATTGCATAACAAGTATTATTATTAATACTTTTAGGAGTTTCTATATCCTGTAATTGGTCCATAAATGGTGTATATAGCCCAAATGTTTAGCAATTGAAGTTATCAATCCTCCATTGACAATATTACCTAATTCAGTGTTTGAAATGTTTTGTACCTTGGGCTTTTTTTCCTTGAACAATTCACAATCGTGATTTTGAATCACGGACGTGAACTATAATCATTGACTGTTTGGAGTTGGTTTTCTGGGACTAGAATGACCCGTTTTGAAACCAGAACGGTCCATTTTGGTTACACTATTTGTATGCTAATTTTGCATATGGAACGGGCCGTTCTAGATGCAAAATTAGCACACAAATAGTGCATCCAGAACGGGCCGTTCTGGTTTCAGAACGGGTCGTTCCAGATGCATTAAAGAAGGAGGACGTGGCACTTTGCCACCTATGCATCTACGTGGCATCCACATGGCCAGCAGTTAACTCCGTTTAAGGAATTTGGACGGAAGGTCTGACATTGCAATGATTTAACTTATTGGGGACCAAATTGAAACAAAAAATTAAGGTGGGACTAAATTGAAAATTTAAAATATTATAAGGGACCAAAATAGTATTTTTACCTTTTTTTTATCCAATTTATATTATTTTAATATTATGCCCATTTTTTACTTTTTTTTAGTGATTATTAAGGGAAAAATAGGTTAAAAAAATTATTGACATCGAAACAATTTCTTTTATTATTATTAGTGTATATATTTTGCTTCCTCTCCTATGGACAATGCATCACCATGAAGATTTTCTCCATCTCCTCAATTCACTGGTCAGCAACTTCAGGTCCATCAACACCTATAAATTGAGGAGGATTCCCTTTTCTGAACTCTGACAAGCCCCTATACTCATCAGGTACCTCAACCCTAGCTACTTCAGCTACAACCTGATTGGTCTCCATCTGAGCCAACAAAGTATTTTGTTATCCAATAACAGCAGCAATCAACTCCATAGCTTGAGCAATCTGCCACTCATCCACGCCTGAAGAAGGATTAGAATGGTTTCACCTACCAACCATCCTAATCAAGATAAAAGATCAAGGAACCCATGTGTTTACACTAAAACACATAAGTAATTCCTTTTCAAAATCCATTTCCTCACAACAGAAACATAACAAGACCATTTCCCACAAACCCCAATGAGACTTGACCAGCTCTGATACCAACAAGTGTAACGACCCACCCTAGGTCGTCACATCAACAACCAATATGACAACTAAAATAAAATATAATATATAATTAAGAAAAGAGAGCAAAGGTCAGCTACACTAGAGTGTAAATATAAAATAACGTATAAATTGTTTTCATCGTATAAAACAATTTTATAAAATAGTCATCCTCATCAAGGTTATACAGTCATCCAAAAAGATAATGAACGTACAACATCATGAAAGTATCAAAATAAGACACCCTAGGTGCTGATCAAGCTCTAAGTCTAGCCACTTCTCAAAGTAGCTACCCAAAAAAACTCCTTGCTATCCCAAAGCCTCTCACCTGATCTGCTTTCCCACATAGTGAGATCATCACAGTCCACATCATGGAAATATAAGGGTTAGCACGTATAAAACCAACCATAGTACAACATAATGAAATATCATTAAACTAGATATTCATCAATAGTAAGTATCCATACCAAGGGAATGACAACATTATAACAAGTCATTTCCATGCCAAATATAAACCAATCCAAAATCCAATGTATACACATCCATGCCAATGCATACATATTCTATGATAATAAAGAATCCATAACCAATGTATACAATCCATACCAAATGCATACATATTCCACATCCAAACCAAAGTCACACCACTGTATAATCCCATGAAGTAGCCAACACATCCAAACCCAATGTTGGCCTCAACACATCCAAACCAAGTGTTGAATTTGTGAACATGTCACACACCTCACCTCTCATGGAAAATATACAGTTGGGTTACGTCGTCACGTAACCCTGGTGATCATGGCCACTTCATCCATCAGTATGACTCGGTCTTGCCCATATACCGGTAGCAAATATAATACTTAAAGGAGTACTTCAGAATCCACCTAACATCTGAAGTGGTTTATTATATAATCTTTGGAAAATTTCCATATTGGAATCCTCACAATGGGACTCCCAAATTCCATATTTTCCTAAAGATTATATTCTGATCTCACCAAGAGATCTCCCAATCCATACCATAACCTTACTCCTCTAAGTCCTATTAGTTTTCCAAACCAAACACACATAGCATATTCCATAATTACATACAAAATTTTCCATAACCATGCCAAATTACTCAATATAACAACATAAATAATTAAACACCCAAAACAACTATGAACTTAACCAAATCACTTTTTGTGAAATGACAATCTTAACATAAAACAGCATATCAAGCGTTATACTACTCCTATTATGCTCATCTTTATTTCATATGACAGATAAGAATATTTCTTACAACTCTTATGAAGACATCAATTCCTAATTCCATCACCTACTTTGTTAAAAATTTTAAAAACCGCATTAGCTATAACCAATGCTGGCAGCTTGTCCCTTGTTTACTAAAATAGTCATATCTGGAGTTCTAGACCTCCTTTTTGGGTGATTCCAACGCCATTGGAAAGCTAACATCCAAGGCTACAACTTTCATGAAGACTTCAAGACCAACATACTCACGCCTCTGGCGCACTAATATCCCGCTCGGTGCAAAACTCAAACAGAGACCTACAGATGTCATTGCGACTGGAGCAATTATACTGTGCCCGGCGCAATATAATATCAGTAACCAAAACACAAGGACCACGTCTGATAGTGCACCCGGCATGGTTCTCCTCACGCTCGGCGTGATTCACCCTGGGATTCTCATTTCAAATTGCGCCCGGCACGACTAACCTTGCGCCTGGCGTGATTTGGCAATGATGGTCTCTAATGAATTCACACCCGGCGCATTGATAACCAGAAACCCTCGAAAACCTTGAAAATTCCTTCCAATCATGAATCCAATCCAAATTACATGAGTTCGAACCATTATAAAGCATAAACAATATCCAAAAACAACATTTGAAGCAATAAAATCAAGTATTAACCATTAATCCATGGAAATCATGAAGAAACCCCAACCAAAACCCTTTCCCCTCAATCCATCCTTAATCAGGCATAAATCATGGAATTAATATGATATTTCAAACCCATACATACTAGATTAAGTCTTATAAGTACTACCCTTACCTTAGAAACCTCAGAAATGCAAGATTTGGACAAAACCCTCAAATCCCAACTCAAACTTCAACCTCACTTTTCAAGCTTCTAGAGGCTAAATCTCTTAATACTCTAGTTGTGAAGATTGATCCTGGCTTGATAAGCTTCCCAAATGTGTCTTCAGCTTCCCTCCAGACCAGAGCCTCTCTCTCTACTTTCTCTCTCTAGAAACTGTCTCTGTTTGACAAATGAAACCCTCCGGTCCTAAGTCCCTATATATAATCATTTTCCAAAATTTCCAAATTTCACCCTTAGCAATTATTCACCTTAAATATTCTATTCCTTGAAGTATTTCAACTCTCTAAGCTCTAAAATAACCTCAAATTTACTCAGAAAGACCGAATTTATCTTATGTCCCTATCCTTCAATCTCCTACCCATCCTATTCCTTTCCATGCAATACTCACAACTCACCACCATATGAAATGCAACATGTATTAACATGCAAACAAACATCACTTTCAGATACATATGCTTGGAATAATGAGTTGCAAGACATAATACTTCACTTAACTAAGATGAGAAGGAAGGTGATCAGTCTTCTTCCCTCTTAGTACCAATTCAGTATAATGATGTACAATGCATCATTCACCAAGTTCATGCACACACACATGCCTATATAAACCTCTCATCTCATACTACAAAATCACTATCATGTCCAAACAACCAATCAAAATTACATAAAGGTACAACATGCACAAGATAAGTACATTTTAAATCCACACCTCCAAATCCAAATAAACAACATACACATATATACACATACATATACACACACACACACACACATATATATATACATAAAGTATATATACGAAATAGCTTGATATTTCCATGGTGTTACAACTCTCCCCAACAACAAAAATTTTCGTCCCCGAAAATTCACTTAGTCAAAAAGAGATATAGGTATTGATCCTTCATCCTATCTTCCAACTCCCAAATGGCTTCATTAGTAATCTCATCCCAAATAACCTTTACCAAATTGATAGATTTACCCCGTAACTATTTATCTTTCTTATCTAACACTAAGACTGGCTATTTCTCAAAAGTTAAATTCTCCTTAACTTGCTCTGCCTCTGATTCCAAGACATGACTCGGATCGTGAATATACATCCTCAATTGTGAAACATGGAAGACATCATGAAATTTAGACAGGAATGGAGGTAATGCAATCTTATATGCCACTGATCCAATCCTCTTGAGAATCTGATACGACCCAATAAACTTAGGATTCAACTTCTTAGCTTTAATAGCTCTTCCCACACCTGTGGTAGGAGTTACCTTCAAAAATACATGTTCTCCCTCTGCAAAATCTAAAGGTTTCCTCCTTTTGTCTGCATAAGACTTTTGCCTACTCTGAGCAGCTTTCATTCTTTCCTGAATTTATTTCACTTTTTTGGTAGTCAGTAAGATGATCTCTGGCCCCACCATCATTGATTCTCCCTCTTTAAACCAACATAGAGGTGTCCGACATTTCCTCCCATACAGAGCCTCAAAGGGTGTCATTCCTATACTTGCATGAAAACTTTTATTATAAGTGAACTCGACCAAAGGCAACATTTCTTCCCAACTCCCTAGATGATCCAAAATACAAGCCCTCAACAAGTCCTCCAAAGATTGGATAGTCCTCTTAGACTGCCCATCAGTCTGTGGGTGATAAGCAGAACTGAGTCTCAACTTAGTTCCTAACCCCTAGTGCAAACTCTACCAAAATCGAGAGGTAAAACGAGGGTTCCTATCAGAAATGATATTGGAGGGCACACAATGTAATCTAACTATCTCCTTGACATACAATTGAGTTAACTTTTCTAAGGACCATTTTATATTCACTGGAAGAAAATGAGCACACTTAGTTAATCTATCCATGATCACCCAAATAGAATCACAATTCTTAGCAGACCTTGGCAAACCAACAACAAAATCCATGGCGATACTATCGCATTTCCATTCTGGCACTTCCATCATCTATAACAAACCTCCTGGTTTTTATGTTCTACTTTAGCTTTTTGACACACAATGCAGGATGCAACATACTCGGCCACCTCCCTTTTCATACCATTCCACCAAAACAGTTTCTTCAAATCTTGATACACCTTTGTCAGTCCCGGATGTGCACTCAACTTGCTCTTATGACCTTCTTCAAGTATCAACTTCTTCAACTCTTCATCTTGTGGAATACAAATTCTGCCCTTGTATCTCAAAACTCCATCTATATCTTGTTCAAATCCTTCAGCTCTCTCAGAACCCAACAACTCTCTAACCTTATTCAAACCCGCATCCTGAACTTGTTTTTGTTTCACCATCTCCAAGAAATCACTAGTAATGGTAGTCATACCAAAACAAATAAAATCCGGAGCGAACAAAACATTAAGATTCATATCCTTGAATTTTTCTACCAACTCCATCTCTTTATCCATCATGTAAGACATATAAAGAGATTTTCTGCTCAAAGCATCTGCCACCACATTCGCTTTACCTAGATGGTACATTAACTGAAGGTCATAATCTTTCAAAAACTCAATCCACCTCCTTTGCCTCATATTTAACTCTTTCTGATCAAACAAATATTTCATACTCTTATGATCACTGAACACATCAAATTTTGCTCCATAGAGGTAATGCCTCCAAATCTTCAAGGCAAAAACCACCGCAGCCAACTCTAGATCATGCGTAGGATAATTTCGTTCATGGGTCTTCAATTGTCTAGATGCATAGGCCACAACTCACCTATCTTGCATAAGGACACATCCTAAGCCTTGATGAGATGCATCACAATAAACTTCAAAAGATTTATTGGGATCTGGCAGAATCAACACAGGAGATGACGTCAACTTTTCCTTTAACTCTTGAAAACTCTTCTCACACTCCTCCGTCCATACAAAAAGATGATCCTTCCTAGTCAATTGTGTCCAAGGCATGACTATTTTAGAAAACCCTTCTATGAATCTTCTATAATAGCCAGCCAATCCCACAAAACCTCTAACTTCAGTAACTGATTTCGGATGCTCCCACCTCAAAACCGCTTCCACCTTAGTAGGATCAACTGCAATTCCTTGTGCAGAAATCACATGACCCAAGAACTTAACTTCAGATAGCCAAAACTCACATTTAGACAACTTTGCAAATAACTGTTTCTCTTTCAATACCTGCAAACTATCCTCAGATGTTCTCTATGTTCTTCCATGGATCTAGAATAAACCAAAATGTCATCAATGAACACCACAACAAACTTATCCAGAAAGGGTCTGAAAATCATGTTCATATAATCCATGAAAATAGTTGGAGCATTAGTCACTCCAAAAGGCATAACAACATACTCATAATGGTCATATCGAGTCCTGAAATCAATCTTTGGTATGTCCTTCTCCTTTACCCGAATCTGGTGATACCCAAACCTCAAATCAATCTTGGAGAACACATAAGCTCCCCTCAATTGATCCATCAAATCATCTATCATTGGCAATGGATACTTATTCTTGATTGTCAATTTACTTAAATACCTGTAATCTACACATAACCTCACACCACCATCCTTCTTCTTTACCAATAACACGGGTGCTTCCCGTGGAGACACACTAGGTCTGATCATCTTCTTCTCCAAAAGTTCCTCAACCTCCTTCTTCAATTCAGATAACTCCGCTGGTGCCATTCTATAAGGAGAAATAGACACTAGTCCCGCCCCTAGTATAAGATCAATACTAAACTCCAACTCTCGCTTAGTGATAACCCCGGAACATCATCCAGAAAAACCTCTGGGAAATCTCCAACAACATCAATACTATTCAACAACTTTTAATTCTCTAAACTGATAAAAGATAGGATCATAAACCCAAGAGCTCCACCCTTCAACAACCTATCCACTTGTCCACTAGAAATAAATCTCTCTTGTTCAACAATAGGAAAGATCAATTGCCTCTCTAAAAAATCTATCAAAATCCTATCGGCAGAAAGTCAATCCATCCTTAGAATAACATCCAAATCAGATAAAGGTAAGCAAAACAAATTTACTTTATAACAACGCCCTTCCACTTCCACTGGACATTTGAAGCAAACCTCATAAGTCAAAACAGGCCATGAAGCTAGGGTAGAAATGACTAGATCCACACACAAAGAACTCACAACCAAATTTAACCTTGCCACACATTCATAAGAAATAAAATAATGTGAAGCACCAGAATCAAATAAAATAGAAACATCATTATCATCAACTTTACCCTTTCCTTTTACCAGCTCAGATGACGTTTCAGCTTCAGCACCTGTTAGAGCAAAAACATGACATGTTGCAGTAGGCCAATCCACCTTCTGGTTCCCTCTAACTGGAGTATTTCTTACATTGCAATCCTTTGCCATGTGACCCACCTTGCCACATTTAAAACATACATAATCCTTTATAGGACAATCCCTCATCATATGTGGGCCTCCACATCTGAAACATCTGAAACTCTGAACAGCTCCTATAGTAGTAGTGCTCATTGGGTTCTTGTTAGTATTCCCCTTCTGAAACGGGGATGGTCTCTTTTGTGGATGCTTCCCCCTACAAAATCCTGATGATCCTTCTGAGCCCTTTTGCCACTCTATTTCCTCCTTCAAACCTCTCAACTATTTTTGCCTTTTCAACTAGAACTGGGAACTCCACAATCCCCATAGGAACAATAGTCTTCTTCAGCTCATACCTTAAACCCTCACTGATGCATCTCCAAGCTTCAATGATAGCTTGAGAATAGTACCTAGCCAAGTGTTCAAACTTGACCACATACTCTTGCACTGACATATTCCCTTGCTTCAATCTAAAAAATTCAGCTTCCTTAGCATATCTGGCACTATCTAGAAAATATTTCTCTAAAAACACCTTTTTGAAGTTCTCCCAATTTCCCATTCCCCCTCTAGCCTCCATCATAGCTTGAGCACCTTTCCACCAGAAACTAGCCTCACCCACCAGTATATAAACAACATAAACTACCTTCCTCTCCTCTGGACAATGCATCACCATGAAGATTTTCTCCATCTCCTCAATCCACTGGTCAACAACTTCAGGTCCATCAACACCTATAAATTGAGGAGGATTCCCTTTTCTGAACTCTGACAAGCCCCTATATTCATCAGGTACCTCAACCCTAGCTAGTTCAACTACAACCCGATTGGTCTCCATCTGAGCCAACAAAGTCTTTTGCTATCCAATAGCAGCAGCAATCAACTCCATAGCTTGAGCAATCTGTCGCTCATCCACGCCTGAAGAAGGATTAGAATGGTTTCCCCTACCAACCATCCTAATCAAGATAAAAGATCATGGAACCCATGTGTTTACACTAAAACACATAAGTAATTCCTTTTCAAAATCCATTTCCTCACAACAGAAACATAACAAGACCATTTCCCACAAATCCCAATGAGACTTGACCAGCTCTGATACCAACAAGTGTAACAACCCGCCCTAGGCCGTCACATCAACAACCAATATGACAACTAAAATAAAATAATATATAATTAAGAAAAGAGAGCAAAGGCCAGCCATACTAGAGTGTAAATATAAAATAACATATAAATTGTTTTCATCATATAAAACAATTTTATAAAATAGTCATCCTCAGCAAGGTTATACAGTCATCCAAAAAGATAATGAATGTACAACATCATGAAAGTATCAAAATAAGACACCCTAGGTGTTGGTCAAGCTCTAAGTCTAGCCACTTCTCAAAGCAGCTACCTAAAAAGACTCATTGCCATCCCAAAGCCTCTCACCTGATCTGCTCCCCCACATAGTGAGATCATCACAATCCACATCATGGAAATATAAGGGTTAACACGTATAAAACTAACCATAGTACAACATAATGAAATATCATTAAACTAGATATTCATCAACAGTATGTATCCATACCAAGGGAATGACAACATTATAACAAGTCATTTCCATGCCAAATATAAACCAATCCAAAATCCAATGTATACACATCCATGCCAATGCATACATATTCTATGATAATAAAGAATCCATAACAAATGTATACAATCCATACCAAATGCATACATATTCCACATCCAAACCAAAGTCACACCATTGTATAATCCCATGAAGTAGCCAACACATCCAAACCAAATGTTGGCCTCAACACATCCAAACCAAGTGTTGAATTTGTGAACATGTCACTTGCCCATGTCACACACCTCACCTCTCATGAAAAATATACAGTTGGGTTACGTCGTCACGTAACCCTGGTGATCATGGCCACTTCATCCATCAGTATGACTCGGCCTTGCCCCATACCGGTAGCAAATAGAATACTTAGAGGAGTACTTCAAAATCCACCTAACATCTGAAGTGATTTATTATATAATCTTTGGAAAAGTTCCATATTGGAATCCTCACAATA